TGCAATTGGAGCATAGACAAATTTTATCATCATCAAACTTAATAGTTGACATCAATTTAATAAACATGTTTGACTCTTATATTCATCTCATGTTTTGTACCTAAAAAACAAGAATAAAAAACTAAACACATGCAATGGACATTATGATCTTACATGACTTGATAATGCTTATTAGAACTTCACCTCCACAAAATCTTACATGATGTTGGAGACAATGGTGGGTCATTGAGTAGCCAAAATGACAAAACTTACACAAAACTTTTTTTCACCACGACGAGTTTCTTTGTCTCCGCCATTGTTGGTGATTTCTCTTAAATCAAAGCCAATGAACTATATATATTCCCAAATTAAACGTACGTAAGGAGAAAATAAATGAATGGGATACATATAAATGAGTGGGTTGTTTTTAGATAAGAATTAACATATTATTATATTAGGTTATTTTTAGAAAAGTCTTAATATTTTAACCAAGTTAATGAAAAGTCCTTACATTTTTTTAAACGAAAAGTTCTGATTACCGGTTAAAATATTTGAAACCGGACAAAATGGCTTATTAAAGTTTCTTATCCGGTAAACGAGACTTTTCCATAAACTAATCAAAAATAATAAGAACTTTCTAAAACTAACTAATTTTTTTATATACTTTTTTACAACTTTATTTTTATCAAATTCGTTTTTATAAATTATTTTTTTACAACTTTGTATCTACTTTTTAAGATGTTATTTATTACATTTTTGTTTTCATATATGTATTTTTAGATTCTTTTAATTTAATAGATATGTTTTTGTTACAACATTATTTTTTGCATTATTTTTCCAAACCAGAGTCTCTATTACAATACAATAATACATGGAGGTGTTAACCCTACTTAAAAATAAAAAGAAAAGTTAAAAAGTATGCCGACATGCGAGAGCCACGTTTCATCAGTACATTATTTAGGGAACCCTTTAATTATGCATTATCTCTAGAAAACCTTGATCATATTAATTTTCTTTCACTTCAACCAATCATATTTATTGCATTTCAACTTTTCTCGATCAAAGTCGATTATATCGAACGATAATTAACTTACACCTTATAAAAAAAGTTAATTGATGAATCAATTAAAATACACTCTTTCTTGTTCGGCCCATACATTTTTACAAAACAGTTTTTTTTTTTTTTTTTTTTATTATTATCACAAACGGATATTTTGTAGGAAATGACACGTAGATAGCCGACATTGCCAAATGTAGAAAGAAAGAAAGCAACGGGGATGAATCCACTGGGATGGCAGTACGATTATACACCTGTAGAACACGTATCAGACCCGTTGAATGCGGGTTAAGCAGCTCTAACTGCTAACCTCCAGTGAGTCAACTTCATCAAAGTCGTCTCAAATTCAAAAATCCGAACAATCAGTGTACGTATGCGATGGGTATTTATAACTTGCTTCCACGAAAACCCATTTTCTTGAATTATTGAAGCTGTTCAAGACAGATCCACATCACCTATTTCACAAATTTCAGCTCCTAGGGTTTTTCTTGATCGTTCTTGAATCTTGACCCTGTTTTTGGTCCCCAAGAAATAAGATACAGCTTTTAATGAAGTGGGGGTTCTTTAAATCATCGTAGTTGTTGATTAAATAGTTGAATCTTGTAGTTTGCGTTTGAGAAGAAGAACAAGGTCAAAGGTCAGCGGTTGGATTTTAACTCCATGGATATAACAGAGGTTTCAATCATTCATCATGTGGGCATTGTGTTCTTGGTGATATGGTTGCTATCTTCCTTCGGTTATTCCCACCCAATAGTTTACTTCATTTCTTTGATCTATCTTTACTTGGTAAGCAAGATATATATAAGATTATATTACTATTTGTATGTTGATATGTTCCCAAAAATATCATGAGTTTATTTTATTTATTTATTTCGTTTTAAAGGTTCATGAGAATTTTTCCACAAGATTCAGAAGAAAGGTGCGATTCGAAGAAAGAAGACAAGCCAATCAAAAAAGGGTAAACTCTTAATATTCTCTCCCTTTTTTGACTTCCATTTTCTTTACTAGATCATCACTTTTTAGCTTATCTTCTTAAGCTAGTTGAGAATTGAGATGATCTAATCTTTAGCCCTAAAAGCTCAAATTTTGAAACCCCTTTTTCGTTTTTGCGTAGGTGCTTTCGGATTCTGAATCAGTAAGGTGGTTAAACCACATGGTTGAAAGGATATGGCCTATATGTATGGAAAATATCGTCTCACAAAAGATACTCCTCCCTATCATCCCTTGGTTCTTACAGAAGTACAAACCATGGACAGTGGTACAAATCTAATCTTAATTTTTTTAATCTTCTTCTTTTTGAAGTAACATAATGCATAAATTGGTAACAAATTGGTCAAAAAGTGTGCTAAATTAATGTATTTATTTATTCAGAAAGAAGCTGTGGTTCAGAGTTTGTATATGGGAAGATCTCCACCAATGATCACTGAAATGAGGGTTTGTCGTCAATCCACTGGTGACGACCATTTGGTAAATTGATAACTTCTCTTCAACTTTTGTCTTGTAGTGAACAGAAGAGCTTCTAAATAATGTGGTTTTGATTATTTTAAGGTTTTGGAGTTGGGATTGAATTTCCGAACAGCTGATGACATGGATGCGATATTAGCAGCAAAAATGACAAAAAGATTAGGGTTTGGAATGTCCGCAAAAATGCATTTGACAGGAATGCATGTTGAAGGAAAGGTATCGTTAAATTTCCACTTATCTGACTTTTGTATATGTTGGAGTCTCATCTCTAAAGAAAATCGATAACTCCACACATATCAAACTATCAAGATTCATGAGTTTTGTTATGTGATTGTGTTATTTGAAATGTTGTTTAGGTATTGGTAGGGGTGAAGTTCCTCCCAAAATGGCCATTTCTTGGACGTTTGAGGGTTTGTTTTGTTGAACCACCTTACTTTCAGATGACTGTGAAACCAATTTTCTCCCATGGTCTTGATGTTACTGAACTCCCTGGGATTGCTGGATGGCTGGATAAGCTTCTAACAGTCGCATTCGAGGAGACACTCGTTGAGGTAACATTCACCTGATACAGTATCAGATAAATAACCAGAGGATGCTCTGGTTATCCGATGACTGGAAACTTCCATCCAGACATGTAATGGTTTCTAATTTTCATTACATGTTGGGTTTTTTCACAGCCTAATATGTTGGTGGTGGATGTTGAGAAACTCGTTTCACCTGAACAAGGTATAATAGGTTTAGGTCCTCTTTACGTGTCTCTCATATATTTTAATTATTACGTTATGGTTTTAACCTTATCTAATTTGTATTGATTTAGAGACTTGGTTCTCTGTGGATGCAAAGGAACCCATTGCTTATGCCTTTGTGGAAGTTGTTGAAGGATCAGATATGAAACCATCAGACCTGAATGGTAACTTTACTTCAACATTTTTTTATTTCTTATGTTCTAACATGAACATGCTGATGACTAAATCGGACCTCTTTACAACAGGGTTGGCTGATCCTTACATAAAAGGCCAGGTTGGTGCATATCGGTTCAGGACCAAGACACAAAAGAAGACTTTATCTCCAAAATGGTTTGAGGAGTTCAAGATTCCCATCACTTCATGGGATGTACCTAATGTTCTTCAAATTGAAGTTCGTGATAAAGATCACTTCATTGATGATACCCTTGGGTATGTTTCTATTCCCTATCATCTCAAGCTCTATATTTTTTTTTTATCGAGTTTATGTATTCAAATTATGCACCCTTTTATACAGTGATTGTGTGATAAAGATCAACGATTTTAGAGATGGAGAGAGACACGACATGTGGTTGCCTCTTCAAAACATTAAAATGGGAAGATTGCATCTCGCGATAAAAGTAATTGAAGCCGAATGTGACGGGGATGTTGCATCACAGAATGAATTTACGAAAAAGCCCTTGGTAGTAGAAAAATCTGAAGAAACAAATGCAGATAGTTTTGAACCCATTGATGTTGAAGGGCTACGAGAGACCGGAATCTGGGTCCACCACCCTGGTGCTGACGTGGCGCAAGTATGGGAGCCGAGGCAAAAAAAGAACAAGAACAAGAACCGGGCCCATAAAGACAGTGAGTCGGTGGCCAGTAGCATGAGGTCTGAATCATTCCCGAATAATGACTCCAGCAGCACTGATGAGAGCCTGGAGGGGTAATAAAGTAAAATCAAGAAACCCGGTTAAACGGGGGTTTCGAAAGATCGGTTCAATGTTTAACAGGAGCCCGAAACCAGAGAATGATTCATCAAGAAGCTTCAAGGAAAGAGATGAAAAAGAGTGTGATTCGCCACCTCAGAATGTCCGGGCTGTGAATAAAAGAGAGATTGGTGTGAAGCTGGTAATGGAGGTGGATAAGGACAACCTTGTGTCACAGGGTCAGGACCCGCGGGTCAAATTTGAAGAAAGCCCGGAAAGAAGTGATGAAGAAAGCCCAGGGAAGACGGGAGTCAGAGATACGGTTAAAGGTATTCTGAAAAGTACTGGGCATTCGGCCCGTGGTATGATGCACGCGCTTTCTCGTAAAGGGTCCAATAAAAGTAGAGACTCGGATTCTAATGGTGAGTTTGGACCGATCTTGTCACCTGGGTGTGGACCCGAAGGTGAACTGAGCTCAGATGGTCCTGATCAAGCGGCTAGCCCAACCGGTCAAATGGGCTCGAGCCCTTTGAGCTCAACTGGTCAGATGGGCTCAAGCCCTTTGAGCCCAACTGTTCAGTTGCGTTCGAGCCCTTTGAGCCCAACCGGTCAGATGGAGTCGAACCCTTTGACCCCGACTGGTCAGATGGGGTCAAGCCCTTTGAGCCCGACTGGTCAAGTCAATGCAGGTGAGCCGGATATGCTTATGATGGACACTGTGGATGTAAATGGGACAAATAAAGGCGATGAGGAAATGCCTCCAGAACCACAAGTAATATCTTCTTCACTTAATTAAGAGGTTATGTATGTAGTTTGTGATGAAAGTTCTATGTCATATACTTGTGTATAAAGCTCTTTTGCATGTTGGGTGTTTATCCTGCAAATAGACGAATCACCATTGTTGAAGGTGAATGTTTGTTGTACTTTGTTTCACTTTGATAGATATATGTAAATGACAAGAATTTTGGTTGGTAATTCCTACATTCCAATATTTTTAGTTTTTTGACTATGGAATTGGATAGATTGTGATTGAAATGTTGCAAAAAAGAAAAATGTAGATAAGGCTTATGAATTCGTTCGGGACATTCATCGAACACATGGTGTGCAATATCAATACCCTCAAAGTTCTTGGCTTTTGAAAGATTATCTCATCTATCATTGATATGTAATTTGATTATTTCTTACAGAATGGTCGTTATGTGCACTATACTATGATGTGATACGGTATTGAATACATATATATAATCATGTACACAGAATTTTGAATGCAAGATAAGTTATACGTGTTTCTTTTTGGCTTTAAGAATGGGTTGAATCTGCAGTCTCCTGCTGAAAGCTCTGTTGAAAAGAAACCGAGTCTGGAAAGCTGAAATGATAGGAAGCCATGCCAAACAAGCAATCGGTGTAAAAAGAACAACTCCCATACCGAAATCATAAGCTTGGGCAAAAAGCCGTGTGAATTTCCACAAAACCGTGCCCTGAATCAATTGCCTGAATGCTTGACCAACCTAGTAATGAAGCAAAAATTGTTATTTATACTTGAAGAAATCAAAAGATGAAGATTTTGATTCAAAATCAAGAGAGTTTTGCTTACTAGTATCAGTCCCCATCCAGTTGGTAGAAACGCGAAACAACAAACGATCAAATCCTTTACAGATAGCTGACAGATGTATGAAAGAGTGATTATGGTTGCTATAACAGATAGGAAAAGAGAAGCTTTGAACAGCCTGAATGAAAGCTGATAGTTATCACTGAGCTAATGCCTCCCCACATTTACAACCTGTGTAAAATATTCCACATGATTAGAATAGAACAAAACAGGAGCAGCTTTTTTGTCCCACCTAAAAAGTGGAGTTTTACCTTGATTAAGAGGAAAATGACGACTATGACAACCCAGGAAAGGACATAAACAACAACGGTTTTATTGGACCCGGCTATATCAAGATGGTAGACGAGGCCATATTGGTAAATAAAGAAGCGCAATGAAAGAAGAATCTCAATAATGCGGGACCCCCACCCCGAATGCTTAAGATGAGCTTGCTCATCATACCACCAAGACTGCCAACTCTTATCTTGCTGGATTCCAATTCCGCCTTGTTGTTTAATCCACTTATTCCAATCCTTCCAGTCATCAACAATCTTCCCCCAATCAAAACCCGAAGGATTGAACAAAAAAGGCGCAAACAGCCAAGTCAACGACAAGAACCAGATGGCGTATGTGGTCAAAACATACGTCATGTTGTTTCGATACGCTCTCCTGATGATGTCATGAACTATTAGAAGTAGTAAGAGCTCGAATCCTTTCATGAAATGACTCCGTGAGTATAATCTGTAGTTTTCGGTGAAACTCGCGTGAAAGACCACGACCTTTCGACCCGTGGGTCGGTATTTTGCACCACCATGGAGTATGGTTCGGCCAAAATAATGGGTTTTGGTCCCGAGGGAAAAGGTGAAGAAAACAGCAGCGAGTTGGAGTTGCATTAGAACGAAGTCTTTAAGGGCGCTGAGAAATCCTCTTTCCAGTGTGATTTCCATTACCATGGGTAATCCTGTCAGTAATCCAAGTTGAATGAATGATTGTGATGCTAATGCGGTTTCTAATGACCGAATGTTGTGCACTTTGGCTTCCAGAAGTAATGCCTTTTCTAAACCACTAAGCACGAGGTAGAGCTGCCCGTATAAGAATACGTAAATTCCAATTACAGATATCTGTAAGATTTGAGAAAAAAACAAAATATTGAACATTTAAGCTTTAAGCGAGTGTAATAACATGATTGGGAGCTCCTTATATATGCTTTAAATTGTCTAGTATCAACAACTTTTACTACGGTTTTAACTTTTAAGTTGATGAGAATGTTATTGGTTTTTTTTTTTTTTTTTTTTTTTTTTTTTTTTTTATATGAAAGGTTTGGGATGTTAATTTTTTTTTTTTTTTTTTTTTTTTTTTTTGCAAAAATATAAATTTGAATTGTTAGTTTGGTAATTATCGTAATTCCTTAAAAGGTGTTCAATTTTTGTCTTATTATCTTATATGAAAGTTTGGGATGCTAATGCGGTTTCTAATGACCGAATATCAATTTGAAGATGTTAATTTGTTAGTTTTGTAATTATCTTAATTCTTTAAAAAGTATGTTGTTCTCTTTCTTTTGTGAAAATCCCTAGTTTTGTAATTAGAGAAAACATAACCCTAAATCGATATTTTGTTGTTGAGTAGGAGAAGCAAATTATTACCAGGCTGCTGAAGTAGAAGCCGACTGTTGTGAAGTAACAGGAAAGCATGCGGAAAAAGTCAAATCGGCGTCCGAGGCGGTAGATATCGCGGCTAAAAACTTGTTCGCTATTCCCATTCGCAACTTTGGCTTCAAACTTTGAGATCTGGTTCAAGCTGACGTCACGCCCTTTACCAACTTGTATGTACTCATGGTATGTAATATGTCCACGCCGTAATGTAGTATTATATCCTGTACACAACATCCAATGCCGTTAAATAAAACGATCAAAGTTAACTCATATGGTTTCAAACAGAACTAAACCTGCAAAAATGTCTTCACTCAGGTTAATTGTCTTTGAAGCTTTGCTTATGCCACCTCTTGTTAGGTGAAAGATTCTGTCAAAAAGATCTGGATGCCCATAATGGAACCTAATCCTGTTTAATACAAGTGACTCAGGCTCAGGCTAGGCTCATCAATGGGTTCGACCCAAAATCAGCAATTAATAAATAGCACCTACTTGAGAGGGTTTGCTAGGAGCCTTTGACCAATTGTCACAAAACTAGTCTCTTGGTAAGACATGAACCATGCTAAAGAAGAAACACTGCAATAAAAGAAACAAACACCATCCATCGATAACAAAAACTATGTGTTTGTTTGACTTTGACTTGAGAGAAAGAAAGTGAACCGACCTTCCAGTGAATATGTGTTCCCTTAGACCAAGTATCTTGGGAGTTTTTCCGAGTCTTGGTAGAAATTCTTGTAGGAGATTCCTCATTTTGATGGCTTCTTCCAGATAGTTATCCTGTAACGATCCATGTATGTTAGATACTTTCTCTCAAAAACTAAAAACTAGTCCAAGAGTATATTGATTATGACTTACTTGGTTCATATCTATGGCTTGTAGAGCTTCACCACGAGTAAAAATTATGGCATGGTTTTGATTTTCAGGTTTCCCTTCTCCAATATCAGGTGGTCCTGGTAGCTTCACGCGATATATCTCCTGTAATCACACCACATAACAATTATAGTGCTGAAGTTTGTGAGTTTATTGTTTGGTTTTGGTTTTGGTAGCTTACCTGGTCAAACCCGTTGACTGCTTTGACTAAAACGGATGAGTAAATCTTTATGGGCTTATTGTCAACTGGTTCTTCCCGCTCTTCAACATAAGCCACACGTAGTGAAGGATACCTTACCATAAGATCAATGATTTCTTGTGCCTGTGGGTCCCCTGATGTTTTCTGTGACCCGAATAACTGACATGACACAACATGAGTAAATTTCATGTCTGCTAATGCATCCAGATGAGCGTTTAACGTGTCATTCCCTCTTTCGATTGTCTCATAACCTTGGAGAATATCTGATAATCAACATCAACATATCAGACTCTGTGACTGATGTCAAGTGAGACAAAATTTACAGTTATTTATTTCACCCAAAAAGATGGAATAAGGTGGGACAAGGGACTGGCTTTTGATCTCTCGTTTGTACAAAAGACGTAAATGCCCTTCCTCATCATTGAAATTAGCTCTAAAAAGCTTGTCAGGTCCAATCCAGTCCAGTGAAAGAAAGTAAGCTGAACTACAACAAACCATCATCTTCAGCCTTGTCAAGAAAAGCTTGCAGCTTTAGTGCCTTGTGGTAATACATCATCCCACGAACTGTTAACAAAAATAAAGATATACTATGTGTTAAGATATAAGTAGTAGTATAGGGTTTTATTAGTTCTTGATGTGGCTTTTAATATAATTTCCAGATTGTTTACAATATGTAAGTTTTGAAAGAAGTAAACTGTTTCTAGCAACTCACCCGTCCTGCTTAAAGTCTGCCCACGAAAAGAAGCCCAATCTCTAAGCTCCTCCTTGCCATGATCATCTAGCTCCTCCATGGTTTCAACCCCCATTCTTTCCAGGAAGTTTTGCAACTCATCTGAGAAAAAACAAGGTCAAAATCGTAAAAAGATGCATACTCATGACTGATGACAAAGATCTTGAACTTATAGTACGTTACCTGGAAATATTTTCTCCATATAGAAGCCGATGGATACGTAATCTTGGCTTGCGTTCAGCTCCTTTGTAGAGAATTTAACTTCTTCCTTCAAATGTGGAGTCAAAACACTGTAATCACAAGAAAAAATAAATTAGTAATTTGAACCCAAGTAAGTTTTTGAATCTTATGGTGAATCTATGAACAATGAAAACCTGAAAGATAGCATGTTGCGGACTTTTGGAGCTCGAGGTATATCCATGAATAGAGAAGTTGCAAAAAACGATATACGCCTTCGTGCATCCAGGTTTGAAGGTATATCCATGGCTGCATCTTTGATTGTAAGCAGCAAAAGGAATCTCTTGATCTATGCAATCAAGATTTGTATCAGTTTTTCTTGCAAACATTTAGGGATCATTTGGATTTGGGATTTGGAATTTAGATACATTCTTTTGTACAGAATTTGGAATGTATTTAGCCAAATGCCCTTTTAGTATTATTGAAAGTTGTTAAGAAAACCTTCTGATTAAGAGAATCGCTATCTGGCAATGGGAAATGGATTGAATGCCTTGATGCAAATAGTTGTGGTTCGGGTTCACTA